ACACCAATACCCGTTCGCCCACGCGGAACTGCTCGGCCTTCACACGATTATGCTCATCGTAAGATACTGTAAGCTTGGCCTTCTCTTCTTGCTTTTTTATATGCTCCAAAGCTCGGCTTCGAATGTCTTGGAGCCCCAGCAACAGTTCCGTGCGATAGTCGTCCAAATCTATCATGTACCTGGTGGGTTGCTGCGCGCCGCTCTTGGGCCTAACTGGATCTATCCCATAAAGCAGAAAATAGGGACTCTCGCCTGTACTGTCTTGTGGTGTAGTATTATAACTATACAAGACAAACGGCAATTTGCAATCCCATTCCATGGCACAGCCGTACTCTTGGCTAGCATATTTGCCAGAGTTCGATTCACTCGCTCAGTGAGACCATTTTCTCGGGGGTTAAAACCAACCGTAAACTTCTGTTCCACCCCGAATAATCTCACTACTTCTTCCATTAACATATTTTCAAACTCTCTTCCTCGATCGGAAATAAGAAATTTTGGGCAGCGTCCCTCCCGTGCTACCCAGTTCTCCACAGAAATCCGAGCCACAGTCTCGGCACTTTTGTCTGAGACGACATACGCTGAACACCACTTGCTGAACGCATCTATTATAGTGACAACATAGTGGTTTCCGTGCGTTGTAGGCCCCAACTCCATTATATCTGTACTGCAAATTTCATACGGCGCGGCAGCAATAATGGGCTTAAGGGGTGGTGTTCGTGTGGGCTGTTGGTTAGGCGCGGCACACATTAAGCAGGCTCTATGCCATTTCGCCAAGTCCGCCTGCATACCCGCCCAATAGAAATGCTTTGAGAGCCACCGCCACAGCTTTCTTGCACTTAAATGGCCAGCAAATACTCCTTCGTGAGCCTTTCGAAAGAGTTCCTCACGCTGGCTTTTCGGAACGACTGTCTGGATCTGCCCATCCTCGCTGACGCGGTGCAGACCCTTTTCATCCAGAAAATAATTGTCTACGTTGCTATCTTCTTGTAGCTGCTTAATTATTTCCGAAAACTCCGGATCCTCCTTCAGTTCCGCTAACTGGTCTTTATCTGAAGCATTTATAGCCATTATGACAGCCTCAGCTTCCGACATTAAATCCTCTTTCTCTTCGTTATTACCCATTGCAGCGCTGGCCCGACTAAGGGCGTCTGCACATCTGTTAGAGGTCCCTTTAATATATTTCATTTCTAGTTGATATGACTGGAGTTCTAAACCCCAGCGCAATATGCGATTTGACGCGTTTCGCTTCTTGAACAACGACAGCAAAGGTAGTTGATGCTACTTCATCGACAGCCATGCCGAGAACCAGCGGAGTAGCACAGGACGGCCTATTTAGTGCGGAAAGAGTTAAAAGGTTGGTTGAAGGGTGTCAAGTGTTCAGCAAAGAGTTGCCTGAAGGGTTAAGGGAGAAGGCGATAGAATTG